CCCGCCATTCGCGCTGCTTCCTTGCAAGGAGAAGGTCCGCTTGCGCGTGCCGCCGTTAAACATGGCCTTGACGTCCTCCCAAGCGTGGCTCAGCTCGTCCGTGGCCGACTTATCGCTGAGTTTGAGGTGCCGGCGCCACGAGTTGAAGTTGGCGGCGTCAGGCTGAGTGTACTTGGCGTCGGGTGTGCGGTGCGAGTGGAAGATGAACTTGTTCGGTGAGAAGTACATGCTGCAGTAGCCGCATTTGATGCACTTGGCACGCGAGCTGTTGTAACGCGCGGGAATGAAACTGCCACGCGAGCCCCACGCACACTCGTGCACCACATCGAAGGCGAAGTTCTCGGGCAGCTTGGGGGGCTTGTGTTCACCGAGGAATGACTTGCACAAGCGCTCGGCCTCTCGCTTGGTGATCATGCCGCAGCGGCGCGAGGAGATGGGCATGGCCCCGGCCCGACGCAGGATCTCCAGCTGCACCGGCGTGCATTGCACGCACGTGATGCCCAGGGCCACGCGCCGATTGTGGATCTCATTGTAGCTGTAGTTCTTGAGGAGGGTGTTGGAGATCTGCGCCAGGCACAGGCGCTCCTGGCCGTCGATGACCAACGACACGATAGGCACCCCGTACAGAGACGTCTCGCCCACTTGGTTGGGCTTGAGGGCGCTAGAGCCCGAGTAGGGCTGCAGTTCTTGTTTGGAGTTGGGAGATGAGCTGCCCTCGAGTCCCGGCCCCAGCTGGGTGGTCAAAGCCTCCATGCCGCCGCTCCTGCGAAACAGAGAAAGCAGAGGGCAGATGAGCCATTTGCAGCGCCAGAACCACCAACAGCACGGGGCCCGCCCAGCGAGGCGCCCGACTGGGGCGCGCCCGGGACACCAGACTGAGGGGGGGGGGCCTAAGCTCATTCGCCTCCCTGGACGGGAGTCTTTTGTTTTTCAAACTGGCGTTGACACGCAAACAAAAGGGGGCTTAAGACAGACGTTGGGGATGCGGGGGATGATCCAGCTTCAAGGAACCCAGTATAGTTTGTTTGTTTTTTTCGAACTGGGGGAAAAAGTGAGACCTATTGACGGAGAGTGACTTGCCCAGGGCCACACAGTAATGCCATTGCCAAATCCCGGCTGTCCCGCGGGTGCTCAGATTGCCGCGCCTTCAACCACCCTCTCAAGTCTTTGCTGCCAGCCTGGCCCTAAAGCCCAGACTTTGGGGATCCGCGGCCCCTCTGCTCAGTAGCGCACAACAGACGAGCACTGGGCGGGGGGGCGTTGCGAGAAGGGCTGGGAGGCGAAGGAGGGGCGGCCACTGTTCATCTCCAGACTGAGGGTGGGGTGAGGAGAGCAGGGAGGAGGAGGGACCTCCTCGCAGTGGAAGAGGCAGAGGCCACCACTGTTCGCGTGCGTGCGGAAAGCTACCCTCTCCAAAGCACGTCATTTACGCCCAGACCCAGGGTGGCCCTTACTGCACGGCTCCTCGCTGACTGGCTTCTGGAGACAACAGTGCGGGTTTCCACAAACCCGAGTTTTTCTTCTGACGCCTAGCGCCTCGCGTTCGTTTGAGCAGCAAGATTGGGGGTAGATATGTCAAACTGTTTTCTTTCCAGACATCAGTGGCACCAGGCTAGTGCAGTTTCTCACCATGTTTTCTGCATTCCAGCTGGTTTCCATCTAGGCCAACGCTTGGGACAGAGTGATTCTCAAAGAAGTTTCTCAGGAGCCACTTATTTCCTTTCCAGTTGCCCACTCCCTCCGCTTCCCTCCGCATATGCCTTTCTCAGGACGGCGAAGGCGACCTGGGGCCCAGGGCTTCTTATTGGGGTGGGGGAATTCTCCTCTCTGAATAACCCTCATCTCCTGGGCTAGCAGGAATCCCTGCGAACATTGGAACTCACTTTGCAGCTTTAGGCACCAAAGTTCCTGTGGGTCCCGAGATTTGCTCTCTGGACAGGGAATGGAGGTCGCTGGGCCCACAGTTCTAGGGGGACCAGGAAAATGATGTTTTTAGGGCCTTTTAAAAAGGTCTTCCGGCTCAGCCACGTGTCCTCAACAGGCAAAGCTCCAACCTGGTCTACAGCTCGCAGGTGCTCCTGCTGCCCCCGGGCAGCCCCAGCCAGAGGGTGCCGCCCTTAGACGAGGCTGGAAAGGCAAGCCTGGTTTGAAATAGCTTCAGCCTGACTGGGATTCTCAGTTCCAAAGCCTTCAGTGAAGAAACTGGCATCCACCATCTGTTTGTCTCTCTCCCTCCTTATCTATTTGTTTAGGTGTTCCTCCTATCTGTCCCTGAACTGTCTCAGCCAGCTCCCTCTTCCCGCCCCCCTTCTGTCCAGTACCTTCTTCAAGCTATTTATCCATTATCTGTCTCATCTTTTTATATCATCCAATCAAGCTAAAAACAAGTGACCCTCCCTTCACATGGAGGTGCCTAGTAACATTATAGGCGGCAGGGAAAAAAAAAAAACCCCACCACAACAACATCGTCCTAACTCCCTGGTTGAGGGGTCAACTAGACAAGCTACACGCCCCCAGGGAGGGCTCCCAGGCCGGCTGCGGAGGTGCTGGGGGCGCGCAGCACTGGGGAAATGACGAGGGCTTCTTGGTTTCCCTAAATAGGCAAATGTGCCAGGGCCCCGCATACAGTGAAGAGAGCACCCAGAGCCAAGCGCGCCCTTCCCAAGCCGAGAGTCCCGGGTCCCCGCGAGCGTTTCCCTAGTTAATGAAGGGGGTCTCCGGACCCTGGAGCTAGGAGAAGGGGAGGGGGGCCTTAGGAAAGGAACAACATTTGGGGGCCAAAGCGGAAAGAGCGGGCAAGGGGCGGTACGTGGAGACCAGGAGCAGCGGCCAGGGCAGGTTGGGAACCCTCTCTGGCGCCTGGGGCTTCAGGGGCCAGTGTGGGGCGAGTAACAAGGCGGGAGGCGGGCAGCGGTGGGAGCGAGGCGGTGGAGTCCTTAGGTATAATAATTATGGCGGGGGGGAGACCCCAACAGACACAAGAGTCCAAATCAGAACTAAACGAAAAAATGATGTAGCGGCGGGGCACAAGAATGGCCGGCTGTGGGTCGCGGGTACTCACCGTGCGGCGGCGGCTGGAGCCGGGCTAGCGGTGAGCGGAGGTGCGCGGCGGGCGGAGCGGCGGGCGGGAGTCCGGGGATCCGCCGGGTTCTCCGGGTGACGGCGCGGCCCCTCCCCGCGCGCGCGCACAGCCACGCTCCCACCCGCGGCCCCTCCCGCTCTCAACAGGCGTTGGGCGCCAGGGTCCTAGGCGCAGAGACTTGGGTCCCAAATCGCGGCCCCCCGAGGCCGACGACTGGCCGGAGGAAGAGGCCGAAGTCTGGAGCGCATGGCGTGGCGGTGGGCACCAGCGCCGGAGTGTTGGAGGCCAGCGCTGGGAGGGCACGTGTGACAGCTGCGAGCCTGGGCGCCACACCCACCCACCACCCCGCTCAGTCACTCCAGCCCTCCCCGGCTTCACTTGCCCGCGGGCCACGCGCGGTGCCTGCCGCCTTCGCCGCCGCCCGAGGGCTGTGCGTCCCAGGTAAGCGGCCACACACACCTGCGGCCCGCGTCCTGCGCCCGGAGGCCCGCTCCCGGCAGAGAGTGGGAGGAAGGACCTGGGGCCACAAAGTTTACCCTCCCAAGAACCAAGTAGGGACGGTGGTGGAGCGCTCCCGCCAAGGGGCCGGGAGCAGAGTTGAGAGGACTCCAAAGGAAGGAGCCCCGGAAACGGATCCCTGGCTTTCTGGATGCAGGGTCACCAGCAGTGGGGACAGGGACTAGTGCACCCCGCATTAGAGAGAACCCCAGGAAGAGGCAGATTCATCCAGCTCTCTTTTTGTTCCTGACTCCGGCAGGAGATGCCAGGAAAGCTCCAGTTGGAGAGAGAGAGAGAGAGAGAGGCCCTTCTGTTTCCTTTTCTGGATACAGGATTGGGGAGCGGGTTATTCTCTCCCCTCAACCCCAGCTTTGAATACCTCTCCTCATCCCCAGCAGCAGGACGAGGGCCGAAGATCGAGTTATTTCTGGGAGCAAACTGGGGTCAACTACTCTGTCAAGTCCGTTTTCTAATGATGAGGGCCCCACCCGCCTCACGCAACAGACACCCCTTGACACTTTTCTCCCCAAAGCAGCGCAGCTCTGTCTCTGTCCTGTCTCTGTCTGTCTCTTGCTTTCTCTCTCTTCCCCTCTCTCCCTCCACTGACCCGTGGACGCTGACCGTGTCCTTGTCACTTTGCTCTTTTTCAATCTTGGCTTCTACTTTATGAGTCGCACTGTTCCCCCCCCCCCTCCTCGCCCTCATTTGGGCGCCCATTCAGCCACTTCCACCCCCATTCTTGCCCCAGTGGCATTAAGTGTCCTTAATGGACACGTTAATTAAACTGTAATTAATCATACTGTCCAGCCCAAGTTTGAACAATTACCCTAATCAAACAGAAGTTAATAATGGCAGGGATGGCCCCGGGCACCGTGGGCTGCCCGCGCAGGGGGCTCAGCGGCCACAGGCGGCTGTGGGCCGGTGGCAGCAGAGAGCGGAGAGCGGCTGCAGCAGCCTGTCCTTGGAACCCGAGCAGTGCCATAAATCTTCCTCGGGTAGCGGCTCGGGGTCACCCTCGTCCCCCCCCCCGCCCCCTGTTTCCTTCTCGATCAGGGTTATGGGTCCTTTTCCCTCCCGCCTCTCTGCTATTCCCTTCCCTTTCTCTGCCGCATCTCCCTTCTCTCTCTCTCTTCTCTCCAGGACCCCCGTGAAAAGTCACTAGAGCCCAAACGGATTGACCAGGCCTAGTTCTCCAAAGGAGGAATAGCCAAAGTGTTCTTGGAGCCCGGTTTGAGGCTCAGTGCTCACATCTAAAACAGGTTCTTTCTTGTTTTTACCTCCCTCAGTCTTTTTCTCTCCCTCTCCCTTCCTCCTTTCCTTCCTTCCTTCCTCCCGCCCTCCTTTCCCTCTCCCTCTCCCTCTCCCCTCCCTCTCCCTCCCTTCCTCTCTCTCTCTCTCTCTCTCACACACACACACACACCCTCCCTCCCTGCCTACTCCCTCTCCCTCTGACCCCTCTCCCCACCCTTACCTCTTTCCCTTTCACTTTCTTCCAGTTAAGCCTGCTCTGTCCCTCTTTTTCCTTCCATTTCTGACTCCTCCGTTCCAGTATCTTTCCCAAGAGAAGCTTCTATCCCACTCCAACTCTGCCACTCTCCACACCCCCTTTTTCCCCTCTGAGGAAAACAGAAACCTGTTTTCCACCCCAGTTTGAGGGCTACCTCTGGTCCTCTCCCTTGGTCCAGTCTCCCCCATACCATAATTACAATCTCACTTGGTAATTATTCTTAGACTCCTAATGATTTTTTTTTAAAGCAACAGCAGGATTCTGTATGGTGGTCGTAGCTGATGGGAAGCTGGCGGCCCCTGGGGAGGGGGTAGGGGGTAGAATGGAAGGATGGACAAGGTCCCCTGAGGAAGGCCTCCTTGTCCTGGCTCTTTTGTGCTGAAAGAAGCCACAATGATTCTAGGGTTAGCCTCAGGATTTTCTACAGCCGGAACTCCAGATCCCGAGAACCTTTTATACAAAGAATCCCACCCTGGGCTACCACGCACAACAGGGTGTACAGCGTCTACAACTTCCGGTTCAGCACTGAGCTGCGGACAGCTCCCTGCCCAGGCGCAGTGCCAACCGAGCCATCTAAAGCTCTGGCTCCAAGATTTGAGCTGGAGAATGATGTAAGGCGCACAGAGGTAGGCTGGGAAAGGCTATTGCTTGGTGCTGGTCTCCTGGGAGCTTGTGGGGGGACAGAGGTGGGAGCTCTGTTCTGGAAAAAAATGACTGGACAAGTTAATGTTACCATGACTGGCGGCTTACTGTTTGCAGAGCTGATTCTTGGAAATAGACTGGGAACATTTATTCCCATTTTACAGAAAGGAAACATGGTTTCAGGCAGTGGAAGCCAGCCCACCAAGGGTCCTCAGTCAATAAACTCAGACTGTTCCAAGACCCAAAATGTGGTGCCTGACACACTGCAGAGAGGGCCCAGTTGTGTAAAAGACATCCAGAAAGGCCTTGTGTGGTTACCCAACTCACAGCACTCCGTGCAGAGGGCAAAGGCAAGGTCAGGTCACTTGCTAGGG